CGTGTTTGTTTTTTTAAGCATTCACTAGAGTTAGTTTTGAGCCCCCCCCACCCCACACACACACAATAAAAAATGCGGGTTATTAAACGATTGTTGCATTTACAAATTTGTACAAAATGTGTAAAAATTATTAAAGGCATTGCCAATTCTGTATTTTCCAAAAAAAAAAAAAAAAACAAGATCAAAGCTTTTGACATTATCAAACACACCCACCTTTATTTTTATCGTTGTTGTTGTTGTTGATTTTCGAATAAGCAAAACTATTTCTAGCTGTATATAATGCCCCCCTCCCCAGTGGCAAGTCTAATGGCTCATACGCTAAAAACCGGAGTTGCGATGCCCGTGGGGGGCACAGCACAGGTAGCTCATTGTATAGCTCTGTGCTTAACTACAAACAAATAGTTGTATTTAATAAGAACACCATATTTTAGTTTGAATTTTAGCTCAAACATTATTTTAATGGTTTGAGAAACCTGCTAAAGGCTTGGTGACACTTGATAGCTTTGAATGATACTAGTTTAAATACAGATGTCAACTTCTAAATGTATTATTCATGTTTGCACAATTTCTCAAATGTTTTATGATTTGAACATCCTGTAACACGCAAGCAGTTCCCCCGGTGGGACAGCGGTAAGTCTTCGGATTTACAACGCTAAAATCAGGGGTTCGATTCCCCTCGGTGAACACAACAGATAGCCCGATGTGGCTTTGCTATAAGAAAACACACATAACTTACAACTAGTGCCCTCCCTGACGCCGCAGGACTTGAAAAACAACTTATTTTCTCAGATGATGTACGCTTTTCCATTCTTGAGTTTTAATCAGACAATTCCTTACCTTGCGCCCCCAGTGGCTCAGTGACGACCATATGGGCTTATAACTCTAAAAATCGGGTTTCGATACCCGAGGTGAGAAGAGCACAGACATCCAGCTCCTTATGTAACATTGCATTTAATAACAAACAAACAACTCCTTGCTTTGCTGAAATTTGAAATGACTTTATGAATAAGTCAGTTTTAGTTATAGTAAAAATTTATAGTTTATAGTATTTAAATGATATAAACATTTAATTTTGATAAGCTTGAGTAAATGGTTTCGATCACAGTAAGATAACCAGCTCACATTTATCACGTTTTTCCTAGACAATGATCGAATTACTAATACAGATATATGAGTACGGAAATTATCTGGGGAAATTTTATCTCTATCACAAATCAGGGTCATTGTGAATATTATTTTATATGTCTGGTTGTCTTATTAAATGTTCGTTTGCTTATCAAAAGGTTTACAAACTGTAAAAGCCCACCATAAGACGGAAGTAACCTTATTCGTGAGAGACTCAGAAGATAAACCCGTGACTCACAACAGGACCAACATCGAAGCTGAGCTACGTCTTCTTGCTAACACCACCGACTCCAGACAGTCAACACTGAGGAAGTCTCAGTTCTCCCTGGAACCGTCCAAACAGTTGATGTTACAACATGCGAATGCTCAAGAAACTGAACTTTCATGTAACAGGTATGAAAATATAAATACATGGAAGCATTAATGTAGTCGTTACAGTTAATATCAACTTCCGATCAGAGCAAGATATCTACTAAGAGCGAAACTAAAAATTAACCTGGTAATGAGTATAGATTAAATATACTTTTATTACGTTCTTACTTATACAGATTAGAATGCATTATTTCATCACTGTTAAAGATATTTTCGTTTGATAGAGAATAATATTATTTAATTTCATATTAACAATATACAGATATTTATTTATTACGAATATTATTCTAAAGGGTTAAATAATGAATCTAAACTAACGTTGTATTTGATAATTACTCACGTAAACTAGTCAAGCTATCGCTCGGGGTCTCTGTCCATTATAAATTTTAAGCTTTTAAACATACTAATCCATTAATTTCAACAGAGTGACTGGCATTGAAAAACGTACACAAATGACACCACATGAAACCTGGGTTGTAACGCATATTATAAGTTTTGTAATACTTTGTTTTTTCAGAATTCAATAAACGTATTGAAAGTTAAAGTTAAGATTTTGAAAATGCCCATCTAGTAATACATAAAATCATAATACGAAAAACAAACTGTATGTATACGATTATAAGGTGATGTTGTAATATAAGAACACGTGTTCTTTTATCCTTTGAAACTTTTGTGGGCGTATGGAATGACTTAAAAGTTGGGAAACATAAAGATCCAAGATTAAGAGAATTATCACCCATATTTTATGTTTTGACTTGCTATGGTATTCCATTACAGTTATCACATAGAAACTGCAAGAACATTCGAGACTTTATTCAAATTTTAGTTACTGCGAAAACTGACATGAAACGAAACAACAAATAACTAGTTTGTTGCTATTTTATCTTAGGTTTATGTGAACTTTACTCGATAGTTTGTTTGTTGACCTTTTCCTTCTGGTTCTTTTACAGTCTTTCTGATTACTGTACCAACAACCTTGAAAGGGTATTCCATTTCCAATCAAATATTCTCATGTTATATCTTACAATTTCAAATTTCGTTAAAATATTTATCCATCGTGCTTACAGAATTATAAGCAGTTTTTCTAACTTTCACGATGAAATAAATATCATCAAAAAATTTTTAAAACGCAATAAGTTTGATGCTACTTTCATCGATAGTAGTATAAATGAAATGTTAAACATATTGACCATCTCTGAAGTCTTTGAAGTTTATTTGCCAAAGAAACCTGTACTAATAAATGCTATTACCATATTTAGGACAGCATTCACAATATATTAAAAATGTTAGTTTTAATATTAGTTTATTTACAGGTTGAAATTAAACATATTTTTAAGTCTATCACTATAATCAAAGACCTTTTCATTTTAAGGATATAATCCCCCAAAATAAGAGGTAATTCGTTATTTAAAAATGTACATGTTCTCCTTGTGCAGGGGAATATGCAAGCTCTGCTATTAAATGGTTCTCAACCTGTATAAAAAGAGCATGTTCCTGGAAAAATTTAGAACCCGCCAACAGACTTATGAAGAATAATAATTTAACCATATAGTAAGTCGAGGTGGTGATGAGGAATAGTTTCGAATTTCGGGAGAATTTGATAATCGCTTGTCTGAAGTCTAGAATTCATCAACAGAATTCGGTGGTACCATTCCTTTTGAAATTCTTTATGTTAGTTGATTACGAATTAAAAGCAAGAGAAAAACTGTCCAATCTATAAGCTCCAGTAAATAAGAAATCATCAAATCAGGAGCAAACTCTGAGAAAATGAATATAACCAGTAAATGTAAGCTTATGATAAGTCAACATTAAACTCTTTATCAGGAAAGAAAATATGTTTTAGTTTTCGAATTCTCTTATGCGAATTTAGCGTTTATATGTTTTAAATTTAAATATAATCAAGAAATATGTACTGATCGTGGACAAGTAAGAGGTAAATGAAAATAATCCATGAATATATATACATATATTGTCATAATAGAAGGATAAAGATCAAACTAATTCTTAAACTACTACTTCGTTAGCACAACTTGTTATCAGGAGCATGTCGAAGTGTTAGCTCAGAAGGATGGTTCTTATATCATGACCTTTACAATGGCCCAGACTGGTCACTTTCGGCTACATGTGAGAGTGAACGGACAAGATATCAAGGTCAGTATAAATTTTTCCTTGTACAATATTTGAGGTTATATATTCTCTGTGTGAAAATTTTAGCAGAATACGTTGACGATCGGTTGCAGTAAGAATCACCTGTATTTGCTGTTACAAACTTTTAAAACCTAACAACCAAATAAGTACTGTAATGATGTTAATACAGCAATCATTATTCAAGTAATCTCATGTAGCAAAGTTCTATACCTTTATTCATTTGCTTCTAAAGTTAGAGTGAGGAAAACCTGCAACTTTCTAATCTTGCGGTTCAGTATGTTAGATATCAACATGAATCTATTGCGTAAAGGCAAAGAACGAGCTAAGACGTAATTAACTTTATTAAGACTATCCTAGGCTACAAACATCAAGTCAATAAGCTACTTCCTCTGCAATCTTCATACAATTATGCTAACGTGATTAAACCACTATATTGCAAGAAATCTTTGCATGGCCTGAATGGCAATAAGAAAAGTCTCCATCAAATCAATAAGCTACTTCCTCCACGAGTGTCAGTGGCTGATCTTGTCTTGTAGCTTGACTGATTCACTAAATATTTCCAGTTGCATAAAATGTCCCAAGTGACCCCATCCCACAAATTATTTTCAAGCATATTTAAGTAACATATTTAGAATAAATGCATTAAAAGTTCTGTGCTTTCATTTGAAGAAATATATCCCAACAAGTACATGCTTGAGTACAACGTAGCCTAGGCCTAGACCAAATCAAAACTTTGAAACACCCACCAATCAAGAATCAGAAAAATTTAATGAATGGCGGTTTCACAAAAATTATTAATAATACAACACGATTTTTTTTCCTAGTCTAATCAGCTAATAAATTGGCCACTAAATTTTAAAACTGGTTTTACGGTTTCATTTCTGGCTAATGTGACTGGATGACTGAATTACCTTAAAGGCGTAAAGAAGCAAAATATGTTTTTCTGTCTTTCCTGTGCTATCCGAGGAACTGCCCACCTTGCTGGTCGTTTAGTTACCTATTATAGACAAAGTAAATACGTTCTCATTGCTTGAACTTATTGGTTGCATAATGCTTAAGTTCAGCTACTTGTAACAAACAGAGAATTGGTGTCTTCTACAGCCGAAAAGAAGCTAGAACATGAAACTAAGCACTGGCGCAATATTGTTTTTAGGAACGTATTATGTTCGAATTATTATTTTTGTTAAGAATAAATTTATACAAAACATCTGAAATGTCCATAGTCAATGGAGTTATATTTTTATCTAACCGGTTCACGTGAACCGGTTTAAATCCACGCCTGAGTATAAACAGGAATTTACGCTCTTGCTGTACTACTTACTTAGCAGCTCCCTTTAGGCTTTCGAAAGTCGTTCGTTCATATTAATGGACTGTGAAAAGCATGTAAAGAGAAGGGAACAAACCTTAATTCAGTAGATTAAGAAAAGCCTCCTGTAGTAAAAATTGCTTAATCAGGGCCATAACATGGGTTTGTTATGAAAAGCATGTAAAGAGAAGGGAACAAACCTTAATTCAGTAGATTAAGAAAAGCCTCCTGTAGTAAAAATTGCTTAATCAGGGCCATAACATGGGTTTGTTATGAATTTCGCACAAAGGTACCCGAAGCCTATCTGCGCTATCCTCTGTCCCTAATTTAGCAGTAACAGACTACAGATTGCGACTAGAGTGCCCTAACCAACAGCCCCCCCCCTACGTCCCTATCTCAGAAACAGTGCAATGATATAATAATTACAACTATTTAAGCAAAATGTATTTATTTTACAATAAAATGACTTGAGTTTATTAAATTAATTATTAATTCACTACAAATGCCACAAAGCGTATTAAAATTGTACGCGTACGTGATCGTCAACCCCGACCATAGTATTG